ACAACAAAAAAGTCCTTTTGTAACACTTTATTTGCAACATAATTTTTTGTGTTACATATAACACGTAGGTGTAAAATCTTGCAACATTTACTTACAAATGTTGCATAATAATCCGATTTTTATAATTAGGCAACAGTTATTAAAAAATATTGCATATTACTACTATTTATGTAACACTTTCGTTTCAAATGTTGCATTAAACAAGAAATAAAATGACGGGGAACCATGTTTATGTAACGATACTAAAGAGTGTTTCATATGGTTTCGTTCAATTTATTTTAATTCAGACCTCTATTCCCGCTTCCTTTTCCCGCTACTAAAAACATTTTCCCTCGCCCTAATCCCTAAACATTATCTCTACTTTCGATCCTCCCACCGCTTGCGCCCTATTCCCTAAAAGCAGTCCGCCGCTATCATACAATCAGTGCTCCAGCGGTCCAGCCTAATAGCAGTCCGCCGCTATCATACAACCAGTGCTCCAGCCTAATAGCAATTCACTGCCGCTATTCTCTTCCAATCCAGGTTTCACGAACTCCGTATTTCTCGTGTCTCTTAAATCGCACCATGCTCTGTTCTAATCCAGAGTAGTATTAGGTATGGTTTCTACTTCATATTTTGATGTTAAAATTAGATTCCAGGAGATTACAATTGGATTTTTTTGTTTAACCTAGAATTAGTGGCGTCCAAATCTTATATTATTGGAATTGTTTGAGATTTGGGTATTGTTTGTAGATAGTGGCGTTTGATTTTGAGTGCATTTGAGTCTTGTTTCAGATCTGATGTTAAAATTAGAATTTTCGTAGGTATTATTGTTAAGATTGCAGCTATGTTCTAAGATTATCCCAACTATATTATTATCGGTAGTTTTTTTTCCTCTTTTCAAATACTATTTTATTAATTTTCAATGAACTGTCATCTCCTTGGAGGCCTTCATGATACTATGTTCTTCCTAACGTCCAGGCACATCTATTATCCAGGTTTATATTTTTTTCATAATGCTATTTTATTTATTTAAATTCTTTTTCAGTTCACCTTATCTATTAATTAGCATGTGTCAGTTTATATAGATTTTGTGTATGTATATGATAATCTCATCATTTTATTATGTTTTTGTAGATTCTATATTGTGTCTTATATTGTGTGTAGCTTTAGTTTTGGCTAAATTTGATGTATTATGCAATTAATTATTTCAGCCTTGGTTTAGTTTTTCAGACTTATTTTGATTAATTGATTATTCATAACACAAACCATTAATTTATGTCACATCCTCTCTCAGTTGCTTAAGGTGGGAATCTGATAAAAGTTATAATTTTCTCTACTTAATCAATACTTGTTGACAAAGTTAAACACTTGTTTTTGATTTACGGATTCTCATTAGTGATTTTCCCCGGAGTTCTGAGTTTTTGAAGGTTTTTAATGGTTGAGAATGCTGGAATTTGCACTAGCTTTAGAGTTCTAAGGCATGGCAGTTTAACTTTAATGTTTTAGTTTTGGTGAATTTTGTTAAAAAGCAGTTTGAAAGAGTGGGTTTTGACTTCTGAGGCATGGGAGTTTAACTTTAATGTTAAAATTCTAAGGCATCACAGTAAGTCAGTTGCTCCCAATAAGGCAGTTTAAATTTAATGAGAGGAATTTGCATGCTTTTAGTGATTTTTAAAAGAGTTGGTTCCTAGTTTTGGTGTTCATGGTTTAATTTACAGGTCTGCAACTTTAATGTGTTGTCATTTATTAGACTATGTTGTTATATTTTCATGCCCCGATGTTTCCTCTCCTTTTCAAAAATGAACATTCGGTTTTTAAAAAACCCGAAAAAAAATCAAAACCGAACCGAAACCAACCGAATCAAACAAACCGTGGTTGAATTTTTTTATCAAATAAACCAAACCGAACATTTTCCTTTGGTTATGCGTTCGGTTTTAGGTGAAAACTGAACCAAAGCAACTAAACCCACCCCTGTTATAAACCCTCCTCCAGGTCATACCTCCAATAAGCAAATGAATAATGTCACTCAAACATATTACTTTTGAACCTTCACACTTATAAACATAAGGTGTTATCATCCAAAGAAAGTAAACATATTAGCTTTTAACAAAGCAATCAAAAAATTGAGTAAAATAAAAACGATAACAAAATAAAGGCAAATAATTTATTAAAACTTTTCTAGTAAAATTAAGAGAAAAAATAGATTGGCAAAAAAATTAGCACCTAAAGCTAGTGGAGCAGGGTTGATAAGTACGGTCACTCAAAGCTTTTCAATTTTTCATTACTGTCCTCTTTTGTCTCTAGATTTGTTAGTCACATCTTCTAAATTCCATGATTTTCATCATCCTCACTCATAATTCTACGAAAATTAAAAAACCAAAAAAAAAATAATAGTCATTAGTCACAATACTTGTAATATTCTTCATTGTTACTTTTAGTTAAATGATAAACAAAGTATTCTTTATATGAAAGGGAAAAATAAGTACACTAGCTAGCTTCGATTTGGTTCAAATACTATGTATGCTAAATCACTTATTCTTTATTTGACTAGATGTCCAAATCTCCCCCAATAACAGTATATTTGAGACTTTCCTTTAGTAAAAATATTTATATGTCAATCAATAACAATATCCTATCTAACTTGGATATACCTTAGTAGTGCTTCATAATTTGATCAAGGTAGAGGTGTTACTAAAATCTCAAGTATTCAGATGGTAAGAAAGTAAATAATAAAAATAACAATAATAATTCCATTATGTGCTCTCCATTTCATAGTACAGATAGCTTCAATACTTGCTTTGTTGTTTGCTTTTCATGTGATGTTGTTTCATTCCATCTATTAATGCAAACAATAATAGTTTTTGCTAATTTAATCAGTAATTGAGTCATACAGAAATATTATATATAAATTGTGTTTGTGAGTTTCTTCTTATTGTTGTGCAGTTTTTTTACAGAGTTCATAATGGTTTTGATTTTTTTCTTTTTTACTTCCTTTGATGAGAACTTGAATTTAATTACTTTTATATACATAAGAAAAATTTGTGACTGGTTTATCTTATGTGTTTTTTATTTTATCTAATTTATTGAAGTTTAAGGTAATGGAGAGGGATAGAACTTGGATGTATACACGTAGACTTTCATTAGAATTCAAGACTGGTTTGGCCAATTTCCTTGACAAAGCTTTTGCTAAAGTAGCTCGTGGGGGTCAAATTCCTTGCCCATGCAAAGAGTGTAAAAATCGTTATTGGTATCGTAGAGATGAAGTGTGGAATCATGTAATAGCAAAGGGGTTTGTGGAAAATTATTTCAAGTGGAACTTTCATGGAGAGGGACCTATGTTTGTTGATTCAAAGGGTCTTGAGAATGAAAGTGATACAGTTTTGCCTGACAATATTAGTGATCTCTTAGAAGACAGATTTAAAGGGATTCATGAAAACGAAAATATAAAGGGGATGAATGAAGATGCAAAAAAATTTTATAGTTTGTTGGAGGAGGGAAAGAAAGAATTGTATCCCGGATGTAAAAACTTTACAATTCTGTCTTTCACAATTCGTCTTTTACTTTTCAAGACAACTAGGAAATGATGCTCAAATTAAAACTTATTGATATATGTTCTTCACTATCAAGTATGGTGGATAGTCAGAATGGGAGAAAGAGAAAAGAGAATCTGAGGAATGATCCTAATTATGTTCCTACGGCTAAAGGATAATATAGCACATTACTCCGTGTCAGACAACTTATTTTGGTTAGCAAAGGGACCATGTCCTAGTGCGAAGAGATATACCGGATATTCTGTGAATGGGTACCACTTTTATACAAAAGATCGTGATGAAAGATGCAATACCCAGAATAGTGGAGTAACTGTAACTGCCATGACAAACAGTTTTGCAAGTTCTAAAGACAAGAATCCCATCACTGGTGATGTCGTCTACTACGGTGCAATACTAGATATAATTGAATTAAATTACTGGTCAAAGTTCAAGATTGTGTTGTTCAGATGTGAATGGTACCAAACCGAAAAAGATAAATATGGGCTTACATGCATTAACTCCACAAAATTTTGCTCGTCAGATGATCCATTTGTGATTCCTTCACAAGTACATCAGGTGTTTTATGTGGCAGATCCCGTTTATAATGAGCTATCATACGTTATGGAAAGAGTTCCTAGAGGTTTCTTTGATTCGGAGACACAAATAAATGAAGATGATGAAATTACCTACTGGAAAGAGCCTATAGATCATCGAGCTCAGAATTTCCCATATGTTTCCAGTGATGATATTAATGGAGCCAGAGAAGATCTTGATCCAACTATACTTGATGCTCAAGTTGAGACAGTAAATGTTGGACAATCAAGCACGGGCATCACAAGTGAATCCGAAGAAGAAGAAGACGATGATACGCTATGGGATTGGATGCATGCTAGTGATGAAGAGCAATAACTTTATTCTACTTTTCATTGCTTTTTATAACATGTCCATTGATTTTTCCTTGCGTTGTTATTTGTTTGAAACTGTTTCTTAAATGATTTGGGTTATTTATTAATTTATTCTTGTTTTAATTTGAAAAGTTGTATCCCTTTGGTGTATTTTGATGCATTCATTATTTTTTCTTATGAAGTATTACTTTTATGATTGTATGGATCAAAGCATCTCTTTAGACGGTATGTTCACAAGGAGGGTTACTATTGGGTCCTTCTCTGTTGTAGGTTTTACTTTGTGTATATGAGTGTTTTCTTTAGATAATGTACTTATACATATAACTTAAAAAGTGTTCCAGCTGATATATCTTATTTGTGATTCACAGAGACATGGACAAAACAAAAAAGCATAATGTGCCAAGGAATTTAGCATCAAAGCGAACATCAACTACATTTGGAGACAATATGTCAGAATATGAGAAACAACGTTTACTCAGAGTTCGTGAGAATAAGGAAATGATGCTCAAATTAAAACTTATTGATATATGTTCTTCACTATCAAGTATGGTGGATAGTCAGAACGGGAGAAAGAGAAAAGAGAATCTGAGGAATGATCCTAATTATGTTCCTACTGCTGAAGAAATTACTTCATTAGAGATGGTTGAAGGTGCAAATGTTCTGAAAAAGGTACACTTTACATATATTTGATGTTATAATGTGTTACTTAAACATAGTAACGGTAATGTTTTCAATTTTGTAGAAAAAGCAACAGTATATCTCACCCCAGTCACTCACTAGAGTTCTAAGGAATAAACAGCCTCAAGGCCTACCAAAAAGTGATTTAAAGGTGCAAAATCAATCTGCAAAAGAAGTCACAACACAGAAGAACAAAAACAAGGGTCCACCCAGAGATGCAGTTATTAATATGGCTGAGTTTTTAAGATACAAATCTCAAGAGGAGAACCATGAACCACAATTATCTCCAGAAAATGAAGGTTCAGTTTTAATACTTTTTCTAGATTCCTATTTTATTGCTTTTGAATTCATAAATATTTAAAGATTCACACATGATAATATAGTGCAAGGAAAAATGGATTTTAGTTCATGGGAAGATGATGACATTTTTGATAGCATTGAGTCAGACAGTGCACAAGGTATGAATTTCAAGTTTTATTTTATTGTTAATCAATTGGCCTATCAATTATAACCTAAGTACTTTGTGTAGGTGGAAATAAATCTAAAGAAGGGGATGATGATGATGTTATGATGGATCAATTCGTCGAAGAAGAAGAAAATGCAGATGATTTTATAGAACACGGTCAATTAATTGGAGATGATGATGATGATGATGTTGAGGTAAACGGTAATGAAATGCATGAAGGATCAAGTAAGTGCATTTTCTTTTTTTCTTCTAATATTTTATGGTTTCTCTTCTTCTTCTTCTTCTTCTTCTTGGCATTAAAAATTGCATTATTCAGTTAATTTTCATCAATATATTTGTTTCCTTGATAAAAATTTTATGATGTATTTTACAGATGTTGTGGCACACGAAAGAAAAAAAAGAGGTCCTACAATGATGCATGCAGTACACGTGAGAGAACATCGTATATCCATCATATTAAATAAATTTGGACAACCTATTGGGCCCGATAAAGCCACACTGGATCAGTTTTCATCATTTTTGGGAACAGTGGCTCGTCATTATGCCTTTGCTCCACTAGTTACTCCAACGTGGACCCGTGTAGAAAACAAAAACAAGATGTGGGAATATGTATTGGTATGTTATGGTAATAATCAGATATTATAGTATATCAAATTGCATATTACTAACTTCTCACTATTATTCTTTTTTCAGTCAAAATATGATGTCCCCATACATGGAAAAAAATGGGTCTTAAGTACAATGGGGTCTGCATGGAGGGTACACAAGTGTCGATTCAAGGAAAAGTTTTGCAAAACATATAAGGATAATATGACGAGATGGCGCCACCGCCCAAAAGACATTCCCCAAAGTGATTTTCGAGCTCTTTTAAAGCGATGGAATTGTAAAGATTATCAAGTACGTTAAATACATATAAATGCGTATCTCGATTTCCTAACATTTTACACTATATAATTATGAATAAATATTTTGTTTCTAGGCAAAATGTTCCCGTAACAAGCGCAGTCGTAGTTTCCAGAAGGACAATCACACAGCTGGTCGTGAGTCTTTTGCGAGGATTCGGGAAAGATTGGTATTTAGAGTACATATTTATATATATTGAGTTTTAATTTAAAAGTATACATAACTGTTTTTTTACCCAGGAAACTACCCTTCCAAATTGTAATGACATACCTTTGTCAACTATGTTTGAAGTCACACGTAAAAGGACTGAGGGCCGCAACTACAAAGAGTGTAATGAAGATACTGCTGCAAAAGTGGTACGTCTTATGTGGTCTTATACTTTTGAATCATAGTCATTGAAAGACAGTGTGGTGAGTTGTTAGTTTTGATTTTTTTAATCAATTGTGAAGCAGGGTTGTTAATACAGATTTTCATTGCTTAATTGCATATATTCTTAGATGTGATAATTTTTGGTGAAATGCAGTACTTGTATTACAGAGTATAATTTTGATTTTTTAATCAATTGTGAAGCAGGGTTGTTAATATAGATTATCATTGTTTAATTGCATATATTCTTAGATGTGATAATTTTGGGTGAAATGCAGTACTTGTATTACAGAGTATCTACTACAAGGTGTAGCAACTTGTATTTGATGTTGTTATATACGAGGTTACTGTTCTACTAATAAATATTAGATTGGTTATTTTGATCCTATGTGATTGCCTAGATTTTTGAGCTGTTTTGGGGTGTTGAATATTTTGTACTCTTGTATACAGAATGTCGTTTTATAAGTTCTTTACAAACTAGTAAGTGCAGCTTTGTTGCTGCAAATTTGTGCATGCAGTTTCTAAGTGATGTTACCACTGCAAAATAGTGTAGTTTTTGTGTAGTTTTGAAGTGCAACTTTTAAGTGTAGCTATTAACTTTGCAACTTATATTCCCAGCCATTTTTATTATTTGTAGGCCAAAATGAAGAACTATGAGGCACAGAATAAGGATGAAAGTGGTAGTGCAATAATTGATGGATATTCATTTGTTATGTCAAAAGAGGTTGATGGTCGTCCGATAATGTGTGGCAGAGGTGTGACCAAGAAAGATATCTCCAAAGTGAAAGATAATCCACAATCACATGTTGCGACTCCAAATGACATGGACATCGTAATAAGTGATTTGAGAAAAGAGATTGAATTAGTAAATGAGAAGAAGAATGCTGAAATGGAACAAATGTGCAAGGAACGTGACGCTGAAAAACGAAAGATGGATTTAATTTTGTCAAAACTTGCTACTTTGATTCCAGATCTCGATTCTGCTTTACTTGAACTATAGATTGGTCTGAAAGACACGCCGGACATAGGTAGTTGATTGAACTTCGCAATGTTTGTGAATTCCTATTTGACAGATACCTTATATCTTGTATTCTTGTACTAATTTAATCTTTTTCTCTGTGATGCAGGGCAGCACCATAGACATGGCCAGTGGTGAAGATTGCAGTTTACTAGCGGCACTAGAATTTTATAGATTAGTTGGATATTCTTTTTGTCTATTTTTTGTTGAGCACGTTTGACAATTTTTTTTGGGTACTTCGACATTATGATGGATTGTTTGAAGATATTATTAAGTTTTATTTGAATAAAATATTCCTCCAAGGAAAGCTTATAAATGTTGTGAAATATTTCAATATAAATATATTTATAAGATTTTGTATTATGCTTGCATGCCGCAAAATTTATAAATTGATACTATATATGCTAGTAATTAAAAAAAAGATGCTGATACTTAGAAGTATGTATATATATATATATATATGTATATATATATATATATATTGAAAATGCGTTATAAAAATAATGTTGCATAATCTTAATAATGATGTTACTTCTAAGTCTCTAAAAGTGTTGCATGAAATAAAAAATGTTACCTAATCTTTTCAATTAACCGTTGCATATTGTGAATGAATGTTGCTAAAGTACAAAACCACATGTTACGTAAACCTTATAAAGTGTTGCGTAAAGTAACACTTCAAATGTTGCATTTTACTAGAAAAATGTTGCATAAGATTCAAGGTAAAGTGTTGCAAAAAAGTGTTGCATATGTAATACTTATGCAACACTTCGATACAATGTTACTTATTACGATGAAAAGTGTTGCATGTGACCTTATGCAATGAGATCTGATGCAGCATCCTTGAAAATGTTGCATTAACTATTTTGTAACATTTTATCTATGTAATGTAACATTTTTCACGTGTTACATAATGTTCATTTTGTTGTAGTGAATTTATTTGGCCCTCTAACAAATGTGTCTCCGTTTTTTATATATATGTATTGTTAGTGTTATATGAAAGATAATAAAAAATTATTATCTTCATATGAAAGATAAATAATAGTGATAGATTAAAAATTGATAGAAAGAATCTTCTCCCATGCAAAATAAAAGTTATTATCTTCATATGAAAGATAAATAAAAGTGATAGCTTAAAAATTGATGGAATGAATAAAATGTCCCCTTATTGCAGAATGAAATTGTTTTGTACAATCATGATATCTTAACTTTAAAATTCAGATGCATTTTAAAACTAGTTATGTAACGCGCGTTGCGCGTGCGTGTTAATGCCCAAGGCCATTGTAGGGATACCAAAGACTAATATTTCAAACTTTAAAATGACACGTAAATTTTTCTCAGTACCATTATACACTAACAATATTCATGCTTTTATAATAGCAGAGAAAGCTCTAATAATTATAAACTTTCTCACATGTAAGGAGAAAAAATTAAAAGCATATTTTAACAATAAAAACACACAAATCCACACAAAATAATATATACCTAAAAAAAGTATCATTTCCAAGAGTAAGTGGATGTCTTATTGATGCATGCCATGTTTAAGGGATATTACCTTAAATAGGACTGAAAACGTTTGCATATTTCAAAATAGGAGTATCATGTTTTTACTCCCAAAATATGAGTAATCACTGACATGTTTTTGATAGTACCAACCTTTAAACATGACAATATTTTTCAAGATTGACAATAATTACTCTTATTTTGGGAATAAAAACATGACAATCCTATTTTGGAATTCTCAAATTAAATATTTTTACTCATATTTCGGGAATTGTCCTTGTGTTTGACAAATCCAAAAAAAACTGTCATTTGTTTAAACTTTCAGAAATGTCCTAACATTTATTCTCTAAAATTGGAAAGGAAATGTTACTTTACTAAACGAAACTTAAGCTTCATTGTGCCGGAAAAATTCAAAACCAATACAACACTATATAACATCAAATTCCTTATATTGAATGGATCGATAAAATAAGAATAAACTCATAATGATTTAGAACCACACAAATTTTACTAAATTTAGTACTACGTATGTGACAATTTTAGTGGGACGGATCGACCAAAAAGGAAAGATGAACTAATTTTAGCGGAACGGAGGGTGCAATAATTTTGTTCATAATTCCCGATTTTTATTTTGAAGGATGTATTATATCTCTATTGTTGCAAAGAAAATTGAAACTATATATACTGCATTAACAATCAAGTGAATAAACGTATTAGTAAAAGTGGCATGAGTCAAATTAAAATTTAGAGTAGAAACAATGATATCGACCAAAAAGGAAAGATGAACTGATTTTAGCGGAACGGAGGGTGTAATAATTTTGTTCATAATTCCCGATTTTTATTTTGAAGGATGTGTTATATCTCTATTGTTGCAAAGAAAATTGAAACTATAGCGCATTAACAATCACGTGAATAAACGTATTAGTAAAAGTGGCTTGAGTCAAATTAAAATTTAGAGTAGAAAAAATGATATCTATCATACCTAAACAATCAAAGAATCATAGTTCATGTAGTGAGACGGTCCTTAATTAGCTTAAGGTAAACGCTATCAACATGAATCCAAATTTCATCCCATTTTAGAGCCCGTTTGGTAGCACGAAAATCGGCCGATTTGGCTGATTCTGCTGAAATTTATGAAGTTATGGCTGAAATGGCTACATTGGCTGATTCTGCTGATTTAAGAAAAAACATTTTAAAATATATTTTCCTAATAAAATAAAGAAAAAATTATATGTAAAAATAGCTAAAATGGTCATCTACAGTAACTTCAGCCAATACAGCCAGAAAAGTAACTCAAGCCTTACTTTTTCTGCTTATTACACAATTCAGCACGCGAAAGCAAAATTTACGTGTTTGGTAAAAAAGTTGACTGATAAGCCGAAAAGCATTGTTGCCAAACGGCCTCTTAACCTAAACTCGTTGTCCAAAACTGCTTTTGTGCGTGATGATTTATGGACAAATTATCCATAAGGATATGATTTAAGAGAATCACAATTAATGATAGCTTCAATCTAATTAATTAGTTCGGTGGAAGTAAACGTTTGGCTAGCCAAGCTGTAGATAAGGAGAAATGAATGGGTTCTCAAGAGATCTTCACTTTGACGGAAAAACTAACGGGAATGTAAAGAAAGTCATGTGAGGTACAATAGTTTAATCATTTTGTACAATTATGTATTGCACAATATATCTTTGATTAATTGCGCCCAATATATACATATAAAACACAGTTATATTCTAAAAATCATTTGATGTCTTCCCGATTGAATTTTTAGCTGAAATTTTTGTGTGGATAAACTAGACTTAATGAAGAATATGCCATAAAAATTTCATCAAAAAATTCCACCGGGAAGGCGGCCAAACGCCGCCGTCCGGACGGAGGTTCCTGTCCGTAATTCCGGACATGAACTTTCCTCTCTCTCTCTCTCTCTCTCTCTCTATATATATATATATATATATATATATATATATATATATATATATTGGATGAAGGGGGCTTATATTATGAGAAGAGCATTCGGCAAGGGTCTAAATAACAAGAGTACCATCGGTAACCACCCGCCCTTGGGCCAGACTCTGAGTTAACCACCTTCAAGAAAGCAGTATAACTCGTTGATCCTAAACTGGGCATATTTGAGCCAATAATGGTTACTGGCCACTTACTGCAGAACTCTCATCACCCAAACCTAATGCAAGAGTCTTACAAAACCAAACCAAACAAAACAAAAAACAAAAGCAACAGTCTGAACGTGGAACGAAATATGAAAAACAACAATAAAATAAGAACCAAACTGGATCTTCTTCAACCATAGCCTCACGAACACTTCAGGCGGGTCTAGGATCACAGACCCGCCTCCTCCTCGTTTATTGCTTTGTCCAGTGCCATCTCCTCTCCTGAAGTGTTCTCCTGTGCCGGTTCCTTCCAGACTCTCCTGCGCTTCTGATCAACCGAGACCTCACTTGCACTGCTGCAATCCTCTTCCTTTGTGCCACTGCTTTCTGTCTCATCTGTATCCCCCGCGCCTCGATCTCATAATGCCCTCATCTCCTTGATACCCCCTCCTTTGCTGACTCGGACCTCCCTGTTTGTTCACCAACCACTTACTACCTCTTGTGGGGCTAGTCTTTCCCCCACCACCTGCTCTAAGATTAGCACTAAAATTTTTCTCCAGAGCAAGATCTTCCACATATTTCAATGGGAAAAATTTCTCAGTGTCCCATAATCTCACAAATGAAGCAAAAACTTGGTAATTTTTCGTACTTAAAATCTACTGAGTGTCCTTCACCCCCTTAGTCAAAGTAGAACCCCTTTTCAGGGGCCTTCTCACATCCATCTTTACTCTAACCCTTAAGTATGAACTACATTTTTCCTTAAAGTGGCTTTAATCAAAACTAATGAATTCCCCAATGTAGTTACCCACCCTTCTAGCAATGTCTACATTTATAAACTTATACGGAACATTGTGCACTTGCACCCAAAACTCTGCCTCAAACAAGTTCATTTTATGTGGTATATCATTAGGGCCAACCGCCTTTAGCAATAACAGATTCCGTTCAAACAGCCAAGGACCATCTTCCATAACACGATTCATATCAACTTTATGATAGAAAATGAATAGATACCTCTTTTCATCAATTTCTTGAATTGCCATTCCTCTTCCTAGCCTCCAGAGCAATGCAAAAAGGTCATGTAGTGCCTGAAATCTGACTTTCCGGTCTGTAAGAATGTCGCCCACCACCAGAAATTCCGCCTCCTTTGTGGTGGAAACGATAACCTCT